TCTCTCTCTCTCTACCACAGCTGAAAAAAAATCGCCGATACTGACCCACCGACCGAACCTAAACCAAAGTCCCCTAAAACCCCAGCGCGTCCGCCCTTAGCTGCAGAAGGCGAGGCGAGAGGAGGCGATGGCGCGAGGACCCTTGACGGCGAGGCAGCTGTTCCGGCGTCTCGCTCTGGTGCTTCTGGCGGCGGCGGCGGTCAGAGGGGCGGCCGGTGCCCAGCTGGCCCCTGCGTCCGGTGGGTGTGCTTGGTACCTGGTGTCGTGCCCTTCTTGGGTCAGGACTTGGAGGTTGGGATCATGGTATAGGATCTTTTTTTTTCATTCCTATATATATATCATATACATATGTATGTATATATATATATATATATATATATATATATATATATATATATATATATATATATATATATATATATATATATATATATATATATTTATATATATATATATATATATATATATATATATAATATATATTATATATATATATATATATATATATATATATATATATATATATATATATGTATATATATATATATATATATATATATATATATATATATATATATAATATATATATATTGTGTATGTATGTATGTATGTATATATATTAGGAGTGGAGTAAACATTGTGCTTATGAACTCGGCGATTGCCAATACCATCATTAACTGTCTTTATAACAATGTATCATTGTGTTACTCTGTCTTAGACACATCTAGACGCATGACAACTCGAGTTCCTGTTACTACTCCTTGTGTACATACATCTCTTAAATTTTTGCTACCTGTAAGGCATACATAATCTGGTCTTCATCGCAGCACAGCACAGTTACCTAACATTAACGTCAGTCAGTTTATGCATTTCATTAACTTCCAATAACAGTGCAGTCATTTGACAGACCGGCGCAGGCTACCTGACGCAGGGGCCGCCGTCGCCGCAGTGATGGCAGAAGCTCCTCAAGAATATAACTCCGTCTTTCTTGTCACTGATGGCACTTCCGTCAACAACATCCTGGAGGTATGTAGTCCGGATACTGAGAGAGATAGATAGATAGAGAGAGAGAGAGAAAGAGAGACAGAGATAGATAGATAGATAGAGAAAGAGAGAGAGGAGAGATAGAGAGAGAGAGAGAGATAGAGATAAAGAGAGAGAAATAGAGAGAGAGAGATAGAGTGAGATAAAGAGGGATAGAGAGAGAGGAATGTATTCCGTAGCATTTCATTAGTGTTGAATGCGGGATCAAAGAGCACTGAAGGTTTCGGGATGTTGAACATTCATGTCCAGTTTCTTTGTTTCTTTTTACATCGATCTATTTATTATTTTCTTTTCTTCCATCGATCTATTTATTCATTTTTCTTCTTTCATCGATCTAATTATTCATTTTTCTCTTCTTTCATCGATCTATTTATTCATTTTTTTCTTTCATGTTTTCTTCTTCCATCGATCTATTTTTTTTTCTTCTTCATCGATCTAATTCATACACTTATTCACTTTTTCTCTTCTTCCATCGATCTATTCATTCATTTTTCTCTTCTCTCATCGATCCATTTATTCATTTTCATTTCCTTGTTTGCATTAAATCTACAAACCCTTCACTCGTCTTTCCTAGAGTCTCGGGCAAGTGACAGGCCTGTCTGGCGTTGCTGTCATGGAAGTGTTGCCAGATCAGAGCTTCAACGTCACCCTGAAACACGCGGTGACACTGACTCGAAAGGTAAGGAAAGAGGCATGTTCGAATGCTGGTATTACTTATTTTGATAGTAATGATAATTATGACAATATGAATATTAATGATAATTGTTGTTTTTATTATAATCATAATGATCATTACCACTCTTATGATAACAGTCATTTTCCCATACATCTATCACACCCTTGCTGTTTCCGCGCACCAGATGAGGAGGTCTTCCAGGGGCGTGACCGTGGTCGTGGCGAGCGACGATCCCGACTTCCTCAGCGCCTTCGCCCAGATGGCCGACGACGGTCGTCTGACGGTGTGGGAGAACAGGGTCCTGGTGGTGACGAGACTCGAGAGGCAGCAGTTCCTGGCCCTCATGAAGAACCTCTGGGTCCTGTCCATGCTGAACACCATGCTGCTCAACGAAGATGATGATACGATTGACTTGAGGTGCAGTTTAAGACATGAAGGTGGAGAGATAATGTAGAAAGGCTATTGATTGTAATAACTATTTATTGTTGTATTCCCCAGGTATGGATTGTACAGCCATTTCCCGTACGGCCCAGGTGGCGCCCAGACGGTGCGCGTTGCCACCTGGACGCCTCGGGAAGGGTTAGAACTCCTGACGCACCACCCGCTGTTCCCAGAAAAGTACACTGAGTAAGTCTTCAAGATGGGCAGTTTGATTAATCTGAAAGTAAATTATCAAGAGTGAAATCGTTGAGATAGGGGATGATCTATATATTACTTCAGCCAAAACTATAGCTTCAGCCAACTTTTCCGGTAAAGAAAGGAAATTTTAATGACATCAATCCATTTACAACCCGTAGCTTCCATGGCGCGCCCATCCCCTTGGCCCTGTGGCCCTTCCCGCCCTACTGGGAGGAGAAGAAAAAGGTGGCACCAAATGGCACTGTATCGACGAAGATCTCTGGCAGAGCTTTCCTCATCCTGGACACCATCGCCAACCACCTCAATTTCACCATCGGCGAAAGACTGCCTTCTTCTTCTCCTACGGATGTAAGTAGGCCTATATTTTGTTTATGCTCTTGTTTGATTTATATAATCCACCAATCATTCTCACGCGCAATTGTACACAGCGAATAAGGGCAAGGCAGGATCTCTGAATTTCTAGTGATAGATTAAAAAAAAAAAAATGCTATAGATCTACGTGCTGCAATCGTTTTGATGATGACGACTCTATTGGCCCAGACCATCTCGAGAATTTTCGTTTTAACTAACCTGTCAGTCCTTACACACATGTGAGATTTACGTCGAATAAGTTATAAACAAAACAGTGAAGGAAAGAGCAGGGAAATACACGATAATGTAAAGGTCTTTTCGCTTGACTGCTTCCCCTGGGCAAAATGATAACCTAAATGCAGTAGTAAAACGGGAAGATCTTCGGCAAAATCGTCATTGATCTCATGTGTCCCTTCTCGCCGTGCCTGTGTTCCATTCCAAATACCTACGTACATACATCATACATACGTCCTATCAACCGTGAAAATCATGTTCCTGTAATTCATACACGATTCTCTTGGTTTAGCTGATGAGCCAGTTATTCAACCGCCAAGCCTTGATCAGCCCAATGAAACTGGCTCTCCTGCCCCACCTGGCTCTGCGCTACGACTACACCTTCATGATCGAGGAAGCCACGCTCACCTTCTGCATGGCCAAGCCCGAGCTGAAGCCTCGCTGGCAGAACCTCTACTACCCTCTTGGCGACAGCGTGTGGGCCTCCATCATGGCGCTGCTTGTGGTAGTGCCGGCGATGTTTTTCTTGGTGAGAATAAGGGTTTAGGTTTGCGTTGATGCCGGGTAGTGTTGGAATTTTATATTTGAGTATGTGTAGAGAGCGGGAGAAGGAGAGAGGAGAGGAGGAGAGAGAGAGAGAGGAAGGAGGGAGAGAGGAAGGGAGGGAGAGAGGAAGGGAGGGAGAGAGGAAGGAGGGAGAGAAGGGGAGAGAGGGAGAGAGGAGAGAGGGAGAGAGGGAGAGAGGGAGAGAGGAGAGAGAGAGAGAGAGAGAGAGAGAGAGAGAGAGAGAGAGAGAGAGAGAGAGAGAGAGAGAAAGGAGAGAGAAAGAGATAGAGAGATAGATAGATAGATAGAGAGAGAGGGGGAAAGGAAGAGCGAGGAAGAGAAAATTGACCAACGAACGAGGATAGCTAACTCCACACATAAAAACCAACACCAAATCTCCCTCCTCCTCCCTCGTTCCCTCGCAGATCACCAAACCCTGGATGGCAAGCGGAGCGAGGAGGAAGTTCAGCCCCGTGGTGGCGGCGCAACAGGTGCTGGGGACGCTGCTCGCCCAGAACTTCTCGCTCCGCCTCCCCGCCGCTTCCTCGACCCGCATCCTGGCGGCTTCCTGGCTCATAGTCGCGTTCATCCTGGGCTCGGCCTACCGCGGCAACCTCACCGCCTTCCTCACCATCCCCAAGCATCCCCCGCGGGTCGAAGGCCTCAGGGACCTCCTCCAGACCTCCGCTAAGTAAGGCGTTGCTGGCTATCACGTAGCGGGGGTAATATATTGTTTTTTGAGTGAAAATTCTTGCGTTCACATTTTCATTTTGTTTTTCATATTTTCTCATGTTCTCTTTTGTTGCTTATCTCTGGATTCATCCCATTTATCTTATTGAAATCGTTCTTTTCATAGTTTGTGAGCCATTAAGATGGTTATTAAAACATTTAATTGAGGATGTCCAAAACTCCAATGAGATTTTATTCTAGTTATCTTTATGCAGGAATGATCGTAATGAGAAAATCGTATTTCAAGGCAGCCTTTATTGTCATGATTTTCATCCCCATTATCGTTGCCAATTCCCGCGCATTGCATTTTTCCCTGTCTGGAGAGTACGCCAGCTGCGCACCGGAGCTCCTGAGGCACCAGCTTTAAGGGTGATGTCCATTCTCAAGCGCGTTAAAGCCCGGTGTAAGCTGAATCGTAAGAATGTTGTATCATTTGCTGCTTGGTCATCGATTTCTTTATATATATATATATTCTGGACTAGAATTTTATCAAGAGTTGTCTCTGATTTTTGGATTTGGCAGATTCTGTGCATTTTAAAGAGGTGTTTCTGGAAGGAATTTGTTTTTTAACGCACTCGCACTTGCTGTGGAAAAAAAGTCTTGACATCCGGGAGAAGTCGGTGACAAGTGGCGCACTTTCCAGTCTGGATTTCCCTACATAAGTAAAAAAAAAAAAAAAAAAAAAAAAACACTACAAACTCAGTTAAATATCAAATAAATAAAAACTTGAATTAAGAAATATAACAATCAATACACTGGAACACAATCTTCCCCTCGCAGAGTTATCATGCCTTCAGACCTTCGCTTGAACTTCTACACGACCTTCAAGGAATCGAACTCCAGCATGTCCAAGAAGTTTATTGAGAGAACGTACTTTGTGGACACCCACCTGGAAGGCATGCAGCAGGCACTCAAAAGGAAGTGGGTTGGCTTGCCTGTGGGTGCGAGTTGGTGGAACATTTTTTTCTCTCTCTTTTTAGATTGAGTGCGTGTGTGTGTGCGTGCGTGTATGTGTGTGTGTGTGTGTGTGTGTGTGTGTGTGTGTGTGTGTGTGTGTGTGTGTGTGTGTGTGTGTGTGTGTGTGTGTGTGTGTGTGTGTGTGTGCGTGGTGTGTGTGTGTTCGTTGTGTGTGTGTATGTAATTATTGTTTGTATGTTCATGATGTGTCTTGTGTGTGTTTTGTTATTATTGCATGTATGTTGATGATGTGTATTTTATTATTGTATGTATGTATATGTATTCACTAATGTATGTCTTTATGTGCAATTATTTTATTCCATGTGCAGTTATCATAAATACACGCATGGACTTTCTAAGCGAGCCAGTTTCATGGACTTAAACTACACTAAACTAATTGAACGAGCCAGTTTAATAATAAACTAAACTAAACTAACTAAACGAACCAGTTTAATAATGGACCTTCTAAACGAGCGTACCATACCTAACAGCCTACCACTTAATCTAAAAGTAAACTGAATCTCAGATAACGAACCCAAAAGGACACAAATCATTCATTACACAAGAACTGAAATCGCCAAGAAATCATGAAACCGCATCCTTATCTTTTCGTCACAAGATCCAATCATTTCGCTCAAATCCGTCCCTTTCAGAGAAGCCTTCGTGTACGAACGTCTCTTCACGGAACTGATGATCATCAAAAACTTCACCAACGTTGACGGATCGACGCCCATGTACGTGGTGAGGGAGAATCTCGTCCCGGGGTACTCTGCCTGGCTCCTGCACCGCGACATGCCCTTCAAGAGGAATCTGGACAGGTGTATCTTGGCCTTTCATGAGGTGAGGACATGCGTCTAGTCTTAGGAAAGGAGAAGAAGAAAGAGGAGGAGGAGAGAAGAAAGAAGGAGGAGAAGTAGGAGAAGAAGAAGGAGAAGAGAGAAGGAAAAGGAAAGAAGGAGAAGAAAAAGAAGAAGGAGAAGAAGAAGGGGAAGAAGGAGAGGAGAAGAAGAAAGAAGGAGAAGGAGAAGAAGAGGAGGAGAAGAAGAAGGAGAAGAAGAATGAGAAGGAGAAGAAGAAGAAAAAAAGAAGAAGAAGAAGAAAGTAGTAGTACTCTGCCTGGCTTCTGCACCGCGACATGCCCTTCAAGAGGAATCTGGACAGGTGTATCTTGGCCTTTCATGAGGTGAGGACATGCGTTTACTCTTAGGAAAGGAGAAGGAGAAGGAGGAGGAGAAGAAGAAGGAGGAGAAGTAGGAGAAGAAGAAGGAGAAGGAGAAGGAGAAGAAAGAAGAAGGAGAAGAAGAAGGGAAGAAGAAGGAGAAGGAGAAGAAGAAGAAGAAGAAGGAGAAGGAGAAGAAGGAGGAGAAGAAGAAGAAGAGAAGAATGAGAAGAGAAAGAAGAAGAAAAAAGAAGGAGAAGAAGAAGAAGAAAGAAGTAGTAGTACTCTGCCTGGCTTCTGCACCGCGACATGCCCTTCAAGAGGAATCTGGACAGGTGTATTTTGGCCTTTCATGAGGTGAGGACATGCGTCTAGTCTAAGGAAAGGAGAAGGAGGAGGAGATGATGAAGAAGAAGGAGAAGGAGGAGAAGAAGAAGGAGAAAAAAAGAGAAGGAGAAGAAAAAGAAGAAGAAGAAGAAGAAGGGGAAGAGGAAAAAGGAGAAAGAGAAGGAGAAGAAGAAATAGAAGAAGAAAGAATTAGTAGTATTCTGCTTCGCTTCTGCACCGCGACATACCCTTCAAGAGGAATCTGGACAGGTGTATTTTGGCCTTTCATGAGGTAAGGGCATGCGTTCAGTCTTAGGAAAGGAGAAGGAGGAGGAGAAGAAGAAGAGTAAGAAGGAGAAGAGAGGAGAAGGAGAAGAAAAAGAAGGAGGAGAAGAAGAAGAAGAATGAGAAGGAGAAGAAGAAGAAAAAAAAGAAGGAGAAGAAGAAGAAGAAAGAAGTAGTAGTACTCTGCCTGGCTTCTGCACCGCGACATGACCTTCAAGAGGAATCTGGACAGGTGTATCTTGGCCTTTCATGAGGTGAGGACATGGCTGGTACAGTGCGTTTAGTCTTAGGGGAGAAGAAGGAGAAGAAGAAGAAGAGTAAGAAGAAGAAGGAGAAGAAGAAGAAGAGTAAGTAGGAGAGGGAGAAAAGAAGAAGATGGGTGAGAAGGAGATGGAGAAGAAGAGGAAAAAAAGTAGTAGTAGTAGAAGAAAAAGAAGAAGAAAAAAAATAAAAGAAGAAAAAGAAGAAAAGAAGAAAAAAAGGAGAAGACGAAGAAGAAGAAAAGAATAGAGAGGAAGAAGAAGAAGAAAAAAAAACGGCAACTCAGCCCTGATTTCAGGGGTCCTATTTGCATAATCCCTTTTTTATGAGAATCATCTGACACATAATACATTTGGTCATGCAAGCTTGGTATTTCAAAAGTGCTTGAACCTTATCTTTTTCGAATAAGCCTTATATTCATTTAAAGAACTATATGACAAAGCACTGTTTATATTCGCATGGTCTTCATGGTAAAGAAGAATGCAAATACAAACAGAAAGTCTTATATAGGCCTTGAATACAGATGCCACGAAGACCGACACCAAGCATTTCTCTCGACAGTTTGGCCTGATCAAGCGCTGGAGCAAGATCACGCTGGACGAGGAGAAGCAGCGGTACCTCAAAGGGCGTCGCCAGCAGGAGACGCAGCAGATAGAAGTCCAGGAGAAGGGAACCCGCAGAAGCGCCCTTCAGCCTCTCTCCCTCCTGCACCTTCAGGGTCCCATCTTCCTCCTCGCGGGAGGCTTTGTTCTCGGCGCCGTCGTGTTTCTCCTGGAGGTCCTTCTGCCTTTGGTCGGGGCGGTCGGCGAGAGCTCGAGGAAGCCCTCCGCTTCGGTCGGATGAAGGCCTAAGGTGCTTCAATGGCGGTATTCGAGAAGGCGTTTGCTTTGAACGGCTTTTATGCCTTGCACACCTCGGTAGCAGACTCATACTGGCCCGCATTTGATAGTGACTTGCTGTTGACTACACATGTTCATACATACATGTAATACGCACATAGATGTATGAACATGCATATACAATATGTGTGTATATTTACACATACACACAAACACACACATACTCACACATACATACACACGCGCACACATCATAAGTTATAAAACATGAAACTGAATATATATAGGAATTATTTACATAATATTGTATTATTGTTTTATTGCTTCTCCCCGTTTGTTCCTCGTAATTCAAATTCTCATTAAACTATATAACGCATCAGTTCCTATGCCTTTCACTCTGTTTTTTCCTTTGCAAAAAAGAGAGAATAAAAAATGAAATTTAAACATTAGTGTATAGATCAACTTATGATATAAAAGGTACGTATATAACTGGATATATAAATTTGCACCCCCCCTCTCTCTCACGCACACATGCAGAGAGAGAGAGAGAGAGAGAGAGAGAGAGAGAGAAGAGAGAGAGAGAGAGAGAGAGAGAGAGAGAGAGAGAGAGAGAGAGAGAGAGAGAGAGAGAGAGAGAGAGAGAGAGAGAGAGAGAGAGAGGCATACAGACATATAGAAAGACAAACAGATAGGCAGACAGATACAGAAGCAGAGAGAGATAGATGGATAGGTAGATAGTAAGAGAGGGAGAGAGAGAGAGAGACTGAGTTAGAGATAGACTTACAGATAGAACATAAGAACAAAAGAACGGAAAAGAAGAAAAAAAAATATCCTTCAGACATAATCGAGCCACCATTGTTGTCTGAATTGCATAAGCTGCCAAATTCATCACCAGTTTCATAATAAAAATGAGCCGATATATAATACAAGGTTGCTAAAGCATTATTTAACAAATGTGCCATTGTTTTCCGCTTTGAATTAGACGTGCTGTGTATTCTTTTCTGTGGTTTTTCATTGTAGTCTTGTTGACAATAAGATTATGTCTAATGTCTCATAAATACGTCTATTACAGGTTTCTGGAACAAAATATACTCTTTTGGTGCTTTTTATCATGTTTATTGTTGTAAGTGATTGATGGCAAAATACAGAAGAATTAAGTGTAAAATAAATCTGTACTAAAATTTGGATAAGCTATAGAACATACAAGAACGATTTATTGATTTGTAAGCATAGGAATAAGTAAATACAATGCAGGAGAGATGGTGAAGAAGAAAAACAATATTTGCCAAACAATTTTTTCTGCTCGTTATCCAGTCGTCATCAACATCCCGAAGGAAGCCATTACCAGCTGTGCGAGTTACTTCTTCAGAATCCACGAAGCCAAGATCTCCACGCAGAAGACAAGGCTTGAGACGAGGAGGCCGAGCAACAGCAAGAAGATCGGGCCTTGCAAGTGCGTCAGGGTCAGCGCCATGATGCCTTGGCTGCTGCTGTCCTCGCTGTCGTCATCCGAGTCCGTCTCGTCCGAAGCCGTGCCTTGGACTTCCTTTTTCCGGTTTGCGTTCCGGCGCTGTTTGGCGGTGCTTTCCTGGCGCGCCTCCTTCAGGATGTCTTCGGTCCATTTCTCGATCAGACCAGCCTGTGGGACAAAATATTCATACTAATTTACAAAGGATAGCTAATTATGCATTTGGATAACAAAGGGAAGGTAGATATTAAACATATTATACAAGTCAAGATATTCCTATATAATTGTATTAGTTCCTATACTTTTATGACGTCGACAAGTTTATTGACAAAAACTTACATCTCAAAACGAAGAAGTAACAGGTTATGCTTACTCATTGTGTGAGAAAGACTACCTCCTTGGATACCTATTTACACCGACCCTAAAGTAAACACCCCACCACTTCCTACGGACCCGCGCCAGCACCGACACTTACAGCCTGAAAAGCCATGATAAACTGGTTGAGCTTCTCCTTGTACGGGACGCCCCAGGGGATGGGCCAGGCGCAGTAGGCGGGCAGGATGTTCTGGCCGGCCACGTACAGCCTGGTGCTCCCGTCGGCGGACGTGAAGTGCTCCTCGATCGCGAGCTTTAGGGACATCCGCTCGTAGAAGTAACCCTGGCTGTAGTTTAATATAGATGGTGAAATTATGTTAGTTTAGGTTATTTTTCCAGTGTTTCCTCCATTTTATGTCTGGATACTGTCCTACCCTCCTGCTTTCGAGGCTATATCTGACAAATATAATTTGAAATCGTCCTACCTTCCTGCTTTCGAGCCTGTGGTCTCTGTGTTACATCTCAGTTTTGATGAAGAGCGAAATATACAGATTCATATTTAACAGATGACTGAAAAGGCCAAATTTGCACCTAAATATTAGCGTAACATTAATTTTAAAATCTACAATGGAATCTATTAAAATCTATAAAGAGAATCTTAATTATTTCACTTTTTTAAACTGTTAAGGATTTCATAAAGCAGTAGTTATGGGTTTGGGAGCGTTACACTTATCAACAGTCGAAACAGTTGAAACGAAATAGAACTTGACGTTTCGAATCTGTCGATAGATCCTCATCAGACGAAGCAAAACACAAATTGGATGTAATTTTGATTTTTCCTACGTATGATGAGGATCTCTTGGAGGGTTATATTTCGATTCAGTAGTGTCAGTGTTTCCATGTTTACCTATTTTACACATGGCTGTTTTTGCGTTTATACTCATTAGATTTAAGATATTTGAAAACATTCAGAAAATTGCCTGTAAGTACAATTGGAATGAAATATATTCTTATTATTCTGACCGACTTACCCAAGATCAATAGCTTCTTGCAGTCCGACTTGGAAGTTCGGGACTAATGTCATGCGACTTGCAAGGGTCGTATATAAATAAGAATCCGATTTCTTGAAGTTGTTGTAGAAGTCAACGACATCGGGCGGGTAAGTCGCTCTGGGAAGGAGACGGACAGAGATTTTAACAAGTAACAGTTTTTTTTCGATTAGCAGCTCCAGAATCTATTTGTTTTCTTTTGTCACATACAGACACACACACATATATACATATCTCTCTTCTCTCTCTCTCTCTTTCTTTCTTTCTCTCTCTCTGTCTGTCTTCTCTCTCTCTCTCTCTCTCTCTCTCTCTCTCTCTCTCTCTCTCTCTCTATATATATATATATATATATATATATATATATATACATATATATATATATATATAATATATATATATATATATATATATATATATATATATATTATACATATATATGTGTGTGTGTATGTATATATGTATATATGTATATATTTACATATATATATATATATATATATATATATATATATATATATATATATATATATAATATATATATACATATGTATATATAAATATATTTATATCCATACATGTGAGTCAAAAACGAAAAAATATTGATAAAAGGTTTATACAAACTGGGCATTCCACACCCCGCACACTCATCTACCACCTACTGCTACACAACATCACCCTTCCATGAACCCCTACTTCGCCCCTGTCCGTATGAACTGCTCGAGGGTTTCAGGTCGATCCGGGTACTTGGGAATGGTGAGGAAGGCGGTGAGGTTTCCCCTGTAGGCGGTGCTGACGATGAAGGAGAAGATGAGCCAGGTAGCGAGCAGCACCTGAGTGGAGGAGGTGTCATAGCCTCGCCCTGAGGAACTCTGGCTCACGAGCGACCCGGCCACCTCCAGCACCAGCCTCTGCATGCTTCTGATGCTTTGGCTTCCCATCCGGGCCCCCGCCTTCGTGATCTGGGGATTTAGGTGCAGTTGCAAAGAGGGAATAATCCAGCTACAATGTTATAGGTGTTACAACTCCTCCCGACAGGAAGGTATAATTCAGGAACAATGTAGTAGATGTTATAACTCCTCCCGATAAGAAGGAATAATTCAGCAACAATGTTATAGATGTTATAACTCCTCCCGATAAGAAAATATAATTCTTAAAAAATATTATATATTTCAGCAACAAATGTTATAACTCTTCCTGATAAGAAGGAACAATTCAGCAACAATATTATAAGTTACAACTCCCGTTAAGAAGGAATAATTCAGAAAAAATATTATAGATGTTACAACTTCTCCCGATAAGAAAATATAATCCAGCAACAATGTTATAGATGTTACAACTCTTCCCGACAATTATTCGAATCCATTCACTCTAAGAAGCTAAAACAAGAACCATTTTATTACACAGCCTAAATAAAAGAGCTGTGATTAACACTGGCTTCACGGGAAGAAAGGAATGGTAGTTACACATAATCTTGTGAATTTCTGCCATATGCTTTAAGACTTTTACTTTGCGTTCTTAGTGTGATTTATCGGCGTTCGAGATCTGCCCTTCTCTTATCGCTTTCTTCATTAACCCTTCATCTTTTATTCTCTATGGACTCTTAGCTTATCGCACAGTACTT